GGTGCCAGGTGCCAGCACAGTGCAGTGATCACAACCTGAAACACAGGAGGTTCCCTCTGAATATCAGGAAACAATTTGTAATTTTTATTTTTATTTTCTTTTCCTGTGGGAGTGACCAAGCCCAAGCATGGGCACAGGTTAGCCAGGGAAGCTGTGGAGTCTCTGTCCTTGGAGATACTCAGATGCTGTCTGGGCACAGTCCTGGTTGACTGGCTCTGGGTGTCCCTGTTTGAGCAGAGGTTTGGCCCAGGTGACTTTCAGAGCGAGGGGACCTCCAGAGGTCCCATTCCACAATTCCAGTGACAGTAGATTATTTTTCTCTGGCAGCCCAACCTGACTTTATTTTGCACTGAAAGAAAAATACTCTGGCTAAGTTTGCTTTGGTAAAGGTGCCTTGAAGTGTTCTGTATGTTTGTTTTGTGTATGTTAAAGTGCTCTTGGAATTTCAGAGGTGATGAAGCAGTTGTGAAAAAACAGCATCCCAATAGTTTTTGAAGTTAGTGTTAACTTACACATTTTAAGGCGTTGGGGTTCCTTTTGCCAGTCTGTGTACTTTTCAGTGTGTACTTATTTTACATGTGACTGAATGTATCACTTGACTGAGCCAATTTACAGCTTAAATAAACTTTAGTTCTGTTTATGGAATAGAGTGCTTTCTGGCAGAGTCAGCCTAGGTATTAGCTTTTACAACAGCTACAGTTCAATCAAAGAGGACAATATACTTAACACTTAAGCGGTTTCATATAAAATGCTGTTGAACTTGTTTCATAATGCATGCTCATTTTTTTACAACTCTGCCAGTTATCTGCCTTCTAATTATCAAATATTTTATTTAATAAAATTACAATTTCTTACCAATTTTAGGTGGAGGCAATATTCTATGACAAGCTCTGTGTGTACGTAATGACAGCCCTACTAGTTTTGAGTGGAGCTGCTTGATAACCAAACCTGCTTCTCAGTAGCTTTTTATATTTGCTTTGTGCTACCAACAACTAGAGATACTGACAGTGATCTCACCTTTCCCAGGGGTACCGCAGACTGTGCAGTTTTGTCTGACCCTTTCAGAAAGTCATATTCACGTAATAATTTTTTCTGTTATGTTTTGACCATCCCAGGCAGTAGAAGGCTGAGGAGCTAAAAGAGACCTGATTTTGAAAAGAAAATGACACTGCTGATAAAAAGATGTCTGTATAGGTCCTACGTGTCCAGTAATAAATAGTCTTGGTTTTACTGCACTATAACTTGCAAACTTGTGGCAAGCTGAGAAATTTGGTGCTGTGTTTCAGCTGTGGAAACTGCCTCTACAGAATCAGTGTCATTCTTCTTGCCCACTAGTTGCTGTAGTCCAAGATGTGTAGTTGCCAGAGGCAACCCCGGTATTAATGTTGCAGTGGCTGCACTGTAAGATTGCGGAATAGAAATTCAGTACACAGTGTTTTTGGAGATCTCTGGTACTCTTGAGTGTGATTAGGCCGGTGTCTGTCATTTCTTCATAAGGCCTTCTTAAGTCAAAAAGAAGGGAAAAAAAAATCTCTGCATGGGTTGTCACTGCTCTGTCCAAAACAGTTAGAATAACCTGGCACTCTCACAACTTTTATTCGAGGAAGATGTGGTAATTGGTGCCTTGAATTTACACTGCTAAGGGAGTTGCTGAACTCCCTGTCCCCTTTGAAGTAGCTCTGACTCCCAGAGGTTGTTGAATTGAAATTACAGGTTTATATAGTAATGATCTCTAGTTGCATCAGTATAGTTTGAGGGCTTTATTATTTAAATTACCACAGCTTCTAAAATCCCTAGTTGCAGATCCAGAAGTCCATTGTCTTAAGTTGTACAAATGCAAGAAAAAAGATAGTCTTAAGCAGTTTACAATGAAAGTACTGGGCAAACAACAGTAGATGAGTACTCATGAGATATTTTGTGTGGTGGGTATAGTTAGACATGAGCCTGTCTTAAGGTTTAAGTGCTAAAAAAAGCAGTTTTGGCCTGGGTGTCATGTAAGCAGGGAGTAAGGTGCTCTTTTTGAGAATAAATACTGTGCTAGTGTAGCTGTATGTCTTCTGAGATGAAGTTGGCATGTATTTGTCTATCTTCGTGTGTGCGGAATGCCTGTATCCGTCTTTGCCTGTTCTTGTTTAGATGTGGTCTGTGTGGTATGGCTTAAAATGTCTCTTCTTTCCTGGTTCTTTCTCTCCCCCATCTTGTTTTCTCAAGGAACCGTCGTGATTTAGGCTTTTGCACTGAGCCTCTTAGTGCCAGCTTGTATTTTATTTCCCCATTCCCCCAGGGGTAGGGGTATTTATGTTTGTGCGAATGTGAACTCCAGAATCCTCTTAGGCTGTTGCATGATTTCTTTTTTTGAAGGATATGACATGCTAACTTAGATCGTGAGACTCCTCTGAATGGTAATAGACATTTGTTTTTCAGGTTTGCTGTCCTTGGGTGTGTTCCTGCCTGTCCATGTCTGTCAGTACGTCACTAAACTACCAAAAAAGCTGGGCTCTGCAGGAGCACTGAAATTTGGTCACGTTATCCTTTTGAGCACCGGTTACCAACTCTTTAAGTCTGATAGTTGTGAGTCATGAGAGGCTTTATGCAGCTTTTTTGTCTTTAAAGCTTTTAGAAAGAAGGTGAAAGGTAAAGCTTACAGAAGGGTACTCTAGACCTTGGAAAATATTTCAGTCTACTCTGAAAGAAATGTCTGATACTAAAAACTGTCCCTGAGCTAAAGGCACTTCTTTAGGAAGTATCCAGGAAATGCAAAGGAGGTCATGTAGCTGGGGAACAAAAGCAGATTATTATTATTTTTTCAAATTAATTATCTGCGGTGTTAGAACTGACTGTAAATATCAGAATAATTGGAGGAGTATTTTGAATCCTGTCTCATTATTATGCGCTTTGTGAAGGGAGGCACGAAGGGACCTTTCATGTCTCAAAAGAAACAGAACATCTCTTTTTTTCCCTGAGTTTAAACCCTGGTTTATCATCAGTTTATAAATTCACTGCTACTTCGTTTTGAAAGAAGCTGTTTTTGAATAGTACAGCTCCTTTTCTAGATGACTGCCTTTCAAAGTGAGCCTCTGAACTTTGCCTTTTTTTTCCTTTGACCATAATTCCCTTAGTAGAAGTAGTTGAGAAGATTGAGAAGCAGAGCTCTTTAAGTTGCTTAGGGCTGAAATTAAAAATAAAGCAATCCACACCTTTGAAAGCTAGATTCAAGGTAGATGCCAATGAGCACTGCAGAGGCAATGCCTAGGTGGCTGTTAGTAGAACTCCCAGAGTAACTTCCTCAAAAATGTTTGTGTAGTTCAAAAAAAAATAAATGTTTGGTCTCTTCTGAGTGTATCACCAGTCTAAGATTTAACAGAGTGTTCAGCTGCCTCGTTTAGTGCAGCGTGTGGTATGGGTGATGAGAGTTATTTTTGGATCACACTCTATAAGTAAATGCAACTGGATCCTGCAAGAGCCATCAAGAGGCAAGTGGAAGGAAACTTTCAAAGTAGTTTTGTGAATTTTCCTCTTTGAGGCTGTGTCAAATTTGCTTGGATTGAGAGGGTGACTGTTTCATCCGCTGGATAAAGCCAGATCAAACATGAAGCTTCAGACAAGTAATACCAGGTCCTGTTTTCTCAAAAGAGCGTCAATGAATGTGAAACTATCTCATGTGTATCTTCATCTTCGTATTCTCAGTAGTTCCCCTTTTGGTCCTGTATTAGTTTGTATCTTGGTGTTTTGCGTCAAGACTCATGTACACTCTCTCAAAATCAAAGATTCAGAATGAGAGTGAGTTATAGAAACAATGACTTGGGACAGATAGTGAGCCCTCTAGCTCAGTAGCATTTTTGATAGCGGCCAGTACCTTTTCCTTCAGTGTAGTCCAGACACTTCTGTGGAATAAGGTGTCCGGAAAAGAGTTGAATTCCTTTGTCTCATGCAATTAGTGGTGTTGTTGTACCTTACCACTTGTTCATATCACATATAATTTTAATCCAATTTGACCTAAAGCTTGCTTTCTTTGTGCCTTTTTTATAATCGACAATTGTCATGTTTTCAGTACCAATGAAAATTATTTTGTAGTAATTTAATGTGTAATATTTAAAGAACAATAAAGAAGATTCTTAGAAGTTAATGTACATGTGAAATACTATTGCATAAATATCATGTTCATATGAAATTCCAGTTTCTGAGTTACAGTCTTTTAGTGCCTGTGCAGTCTTGCTTTCAGATGAAATAGCGTAAGAGAGATTAACGCAGCTCAGAACACTAAACTTTAGTTGCTTTTTGTGCTGTTATTGTATGGCATTACACGGAAGTTTATCTCTGTTGGAAGATATGACATTGAAATTTATGCCTCTTGTCTGATCCAGTCTTAAAAGCAATTCCTATTTGGTGATTTAACATAAACACAGTTCAGAGAATACACTGCATTGAAGTATGGCAACTGCAGCTTCTTTTCTGTGGATCAGAGTATATGCATAAACAGTATCATCTCTCTTGCCTACTTCAGATTTAAAAGATGAGGTTGATGTCTGTTTCTATAAGTCTGTAGGAGCTCAGAAGCAGGACAGAAAGCAGTATGTTTCAGTATCACAGCATTTTCTTTCTTTAAACATTTGAAAGAATTCCAGTAGAGTATTGCTTCTATTCCTAAGAAAAATATCCAGCAAAATTTCCTTTTCTGTATGACCATTACCTTCTAGGTATTCAAAATATTAAGAATAATTTGGTAAAATTAACATATGTATATATGAATTTTTGCACCAGCGTGAGTCTTTCATACTATTTAAGAGTTACTGGTTCATTGCTGTAATGTATATTATTATAACTAAGGTGATAATGTGCTTTGCGTGCAACAGTATATTTTGCGTGCAACATGTATGATTTAGTCTGCTTTTAGAAGTTTAATGACATTGTTGTATTTTAAGAGTAATTCATACTGTACAGACAGATTTCTTTTCCAGATATACATTCATATTTAAAAGAAAAAAAAATCCCTTTTTCAGGTCCCTTTACAGATGTAGTAACTACAAATCTTAAACTACGAAATCCATCAGAGAGAAAAGTATGCTTCAAAGTGAAGACCACAGCGCCTCGTCGATACTGTGTGAGGCCGAACAGTGGAATTATTGACCCTGGATCATCTGTAATTGTTTCAGGTAAAAACAAATACATGCACTTATAGGTTAGGTGGGTATAGGCCTTTCATGAGATTTTCTGGGACTGTTTGAAATATGAGAGCTTTTTAAGTATTTTTTTTTAATATAACTGTTCCATTTCATTAGTGCAATGTCAACTTGATGTAGAGCTGCAATAATACATGAAAAATCCTCCATACAGAAATGCTTCCATTTGGCACATTTATCTGCAGCTCTCTGAAACGAGCAATGACATTAACAGTACTTTTGCTTCAGACTACTACATTTGTGCTTGTATCTTGAAGTAGGGCACATTGTTTGGCTGCTTTGATGTGTTTAAAGTTTAGCATTGGACAGCTCATGTTAAAAAAAAAAAATTCATAACTGTAGACGAGTTGTTTTGACCATAGTATTGGTCCCTGAACTATGTAATTTGTAGTATTTACAGTAGTATATATTAACTGCTAATCATTAAATAGCTTTCAAAAAAAATTATTTGCTGTTATTTTAGGTAGCTGGAGCAGTTTGTAGCCCTTAAATTTGAAAAATATAGTATGTTTCACTACAGAGACACTCTGTTCTTATTTTGTTTTTGGGTAAGGGGATTAAAAAAAAGAACATCTTTTATTTCTCTGGACTTACCCTATTTCCCAACTTGAAGAGCCTCTTTATAGGCTGTCGTTTTATAGGCTGTAGAGATCACAAGCAGTACTGGTGTGAGCTCCTAGATCTCCTAAGTCAAGCAAGATTATTTTTATAGAACCCTTCTAGAGATGTAGCAAAGTGAAAGGGAAACATGGAGCAATCCTCAGAGCTTTTTAGATTTATATCCTTGTACCCTTTGGCAAGTTTGAAAGAAGCTGGAGAACTAGCTTCAGGTGATATTTTCAGAAGTTGCAAGGAATAACTTGGGAAAACTTGGGGATCGATTAAAACCTTAGAGTAACTTTCTTTGTAGGAGAGAGTGATTTTCTAATCTTACATAATCAGTAGAATATGACCCTTTAAAATTTCAGTATTGCTTACTGTGGACAGTCCAGCATCTTGTGTATGAAAGAGCATTTTTCTGAGAATTGGTTGAAGATTCAAGTAGTCAAAAGCCTACTTTATTTCTGTCTTCAGCTTAAAGCCATTTTGTCTTAACTGTGCATTTGATCTGGTATTGGGGATCTTTTCTGTATTCAGTTTCTTCAGGGAATTGAATAGATTGAAGGATTCCATTTGCCTGTTGCAAAGAGTGTTTTTACAGTTACAAAATCCTTTTAATGCTTTGAATATTTCAATTTTTCAAATGAGACAGTATTGGAGCTGTAAGCAAGATTTCAGCTTCAGGTTCACCAGTAAAGGGAAACAGTATTACACTGCTTGACTGCAGTTTGCATAGCAGGGAATCTTTGATATTTTTTTTTTTTTTTAATTACTGAATTCTCAGGCAGTTATTCAGCTACAGTGAACCCAAGATACGAATTTCATGTGCAGTTGTTTAGTCATAGTGATTCCACAGTGCTTTTCAAAATTCTCTTCCCCAAAGTATCACCTTCATCTTTTGAGTTTTTAGGCATAGTTCCTTTTGCTTCACTTGGTAAGCTAAGTGCGCACATCATTTTTCTTCTGATCCAGTTTGTTATCAATCTCTCAACTGAATGTTTTCAGTACCGACTCATCTTTCGTATAATTAAAAATAGATTTCTCTCACATTGTTGTGCAGACAGAAATCACTGTAGGATACCATGGGCTGAAGCTCTGCGTTCGAAAGTAAATACTGAGGTAGTGTTAGCTGTCTTCAGCCTCCATAATACGTTGTGCTGATGTTGATTCAAGCCAGTTTTTAAATTCATTGTTGGAGATGTGATTTAATAGCCATTTTAGGGAAGTGCATGGGTACTTTGTTTATTGTTCAATTGTGAATCATGTTTGTAAGTTTTTTTCCAAAAATACTAATTTTGTAAGACCTGTTTTTCTTTGCCTTGGTGCCCTAGATTAACTGTTACCATATGTACTGCTTGTTGTTAACAAGTGTTGATTTTTCTTTTCAGAATATAGCTTGTTGCTTCTTTCACAACTTGTAACTGTTACTTGGTATTGTTCTTCCTTCTGGTTTCAGACCTCAGTGGAGATAAAGCTCTCCTGTGTAGAAAAGCTAGGTCTGTTAACAAGAGGTTTGCTATTTATTGCAGTTCTCCTTGAAGTGATCTCTGGATTATTTGGGGATTCCAAGAACGTATTGAAAACTGGATTTGTATATTCATGAGATTTTCCATGATTACTTAAAACTGTGAAGAGCTTGAAGAGCTTTTTGAACTTGTGGGCTGTCTCTTTCTGCTTCTTGTTCAATCAGATTTTCAGCTGTTACCAAATGGTCAGGGAACATAAAGTTGTTTAACTAGTTATCCAAGGATTCTGCCAGCGTTTGAAGAAGTTCTGTGATGATGGAGAATAATCTTTTAGGTTACTTGGCTTTTGGAAACTGAAATACTACAAGCTACTCATTAGTCTGTTGATTTAACAATTCTTAGAGATAAATGGCTATAGCATCCATACCTGGAAGAAGAATTTAGTTTGATCAGTTATGTTTTGGACTGCAGTGAGACCAGTGATTAAGGAAACCTGACTTCAAACCTTTCCAAATAGGTTTATTTGAAAGCATTTCAAATACTGCAGTTATTTTGTGTTTATTTGTGAAATATATCTGATTCATATTAGTTACTTATCCTTTGATTATGCTGTATGTAACATTTAAGGGGAAAAAAGATATCCACCCTGTAGTAAACACTACCAACTTGTAAATACTATTTAATGCCTAAAGTTAGGTGGCAGTATAATTAAATTTAGAAATACCTTTTTTTTTCATAGGTACTAGTGAATTTGGAAAGGCCAAGTTAGTAATTTTGATACCGTACTTAATATTTTATAAACTAATGTAGTTCAATCCTGCCATGAAGAATTTACTCTGTGTGAAGGGAAGCGTCTTGAACCATACATCAAATGAAGATTCAGAATTGTGCAGTTGAATTGGTGAAAACTGTAGCAGTATCGAAGTCTGCAGACTGAATTGGCTTAGAATATATGGTAATAATGTTCAGAGCATACTGTGTGAATCAGTATTTCTGCTAGAGCTTTTTCATAACTGTATATAAAATTTGTGTGGTCCTGTGCTTCCATCAGGAGTAAGGCAACTTACTGTGTCTGAAAGGAGACAAGGAGGCTAACATGGTAGTTTGTTTCAGACAGGGTCTGTTCCAGACAAACAGTATGGTTGGCAGTTAACTACTGGTTATGTATCCATCCCTCTGCTTCAGTAGTCCCCCAACACTACCATGACAAACCTTGTGTATTCAGGTGTTTCTGCAAGCCCTTACATTATGCACCTGGATATGCAACTGTATCCTATAAAAACTCTAATCTCCTGGTCTGTGTATAGACATCATGTTATTTCAGTCATTTGAACTGAAGAAATGACACACAAAATAGTGATGCCAGGATGACCTGGACAACCCTTATGATGTATCCATCCAGCAGACTGTATAGTTTTATAACTTGGATGAAATTACTATGTTTCTGTAATTAAAGTTTTCATTTAAAAGTGTTGTGATGCTGTTGGTATGAGGGAATCTATAAATAGTGTCAGCGATGTAGCTTTTTTTTGCAGAGCTTGCGCACACTTCACCATAATAACTTTAGAAACTTAAGTTTCTGATTTTGACTAATGAGACTTTTCAGCTTTGGAAAGCTGAAATTACAGTAAAAAGGCTGTCATGCAGAAAGTCTGGACTGCTTTCAGACTCTACCTCTGGGACTTACAGTGCAAACAGTGCTGTGTAAAAAATGTCTGGTTTCATCCAAAAGACTTTTTTTGTTAATATCTGCATTACAATGTGCTGAAAGCTGAAAATGCAGTGAGAAAAAAAAGATAAAATACTAGGAGCAGGTCTTACGAGTTTTAATGTTTCACTTAGAGCCGCCTGTACAGGGAATTTGGTTTTGAATCCCATCCCTCTTTCTTCACTGGTAAAATGCGGTGGAGGCTCAAAACTTGCCATAGAATTAAAGTGTGTATGTGAATTTTGGTATGCTTTTGTTAGCTGTTAGACTGGACTTACAGTTAAGAATGTTAAAACCTGAGTAAAATGTGTAGTTATATATATTTTTAAAGAACTCAATTTGAAAGTGTTTTAAAGATGTGTTATTAAAGCCCCAGGTAGCTTTACATCCTCTAGCTGTAGTTTGAATTAAGTATTTTAGTGGTTTTGCTCACTGTTTAGATTCATATACAGTTGGAAGTCAGTTGCACTTGCCCTGCAAGACCCTGGTGGTCTACCTAATGTCAGTTGCACTTGCCCTGCAAGACCCTGGTGGCCTACCTAATGTAGGTTCATAATGTGTACCTGTCATAACATGTTCTACAATTCTTTTAACTTTGCATTCACTTAATCATAAAATGTGTTTATTCCGAAGAAATGTCCTGTGGTGTTTGCTTGGCTTGTGTTTTGTTTGTTTGTTTCTGGTCTGCCTTAGGGGATTGGTTTATTCGTACTCATATATGAAATGTTGTTTAGCTATAGTAATTACAGAAATAATGATATCAGCTGCACCAGACTCTGAAGAACTTTTAAGATTTTTCCTTTCAGTACCTGTTGCTACAGTATATATCTGCTCTGTATTCCATTTTAACTTTCAGTATTTGCTCAGGGAAAATCAAGTCTACAGTGGACAGCATGCTGTGAATATGGTGAATTGCCTGTCACAGTGATTAGCTGAAGAATTACAGTTTTATGCTTTGTATTTTCTTTTGAACAGTAATGCTGCAGCCTTTCGACTATGACCCAAATGAGAAGAGTAAACACAAGTTTATGGTACAAACAACCTATGCACCACCAAATATTTCAGATTTGGAGGCAGTGGTAAGTAAAAGTAAAATGACTTGTGTATATATATATATCTATATGATTTTTTTTTATTCCCCCTAAAAATTCAGGCTTAAGTGTAAATGAATTGTGTTTTTTGCAGTTTTCTTTTGGAGAAGAATTGGTTTTTCTCTGAACAAGTATGACTTCCATATGTGATTCAGTTTTTTTAGTATTAAATACAAGTTTGGTTCTTAGAACTGCCTAGTGAACTGATTGAATGGAAATAGTAGTGCATCTAAGGTAAGGTCAGTTCAGTGGTAAAATTTTGGCATGTTGTACCTTCTGTGCAGCTAATCTGAAGGGATAAATGTTGTATTTGAAGGATTTGAGTATATTTAAACAAGCCTGAAGGTGTATGAAATGGGTGTATTAGGTCTAAAGAGTGTTTAGGAGAAATGTTCAATGAGATTATAATGAATTAAAACATTTGGAAGACTAAGGTAAATCTCCCTGCAAGATACCAAGTGGCTGAACACAGCACAAACAATAGGTTTATGTTTTAATAGAATATGTTGTAGATTCAGTTCTTAGGCAGGATTGGTCTGATGAAAGATCCAGAAAGAAGTTATCTAGGTTTGTACTTGTTAGTTCAGAAGAAAGGACACCTGTTTCTGATGTTACAACCTCACAGTAATGGGAAAGAAGCCTTCAGATACCAGAGCATACCCTGTAGAGAGAACGTGGACTCTCATAAGCATGTATATTAAGGTGGAGGGGAATGGTGCACAGGCATCTGTCTCTAGAGCCTGTTTTAAGGGATGCCTGAATTTACATAGAAATGTTCAATGTTCATTCAAGGCAGAGGAGGAGAGGGGAAGTAAATGATAAAGATGATATTTTATAAATCACTGAAATCCACTAGACCTGCAGGTTTAGTCTCTGTGCGAAGACAAAAATTACTGTGGCATCTTTGGTGGAAACAGTGGAAAACCTGTTAGATTTTGTTAAACTTTTGAGACACGTAAGTAGAAAGCTAACATCTCTCTTCATCGTTGGGCTGGTTTACTTTTTATTAGTATGCTTGGATAGCTCTTGTTTGTGTGTGGTAAGTGAAGCGTAACTATTTGGTAAGGATATAAAATCCACTTCAGAAATACCTTTGAAGTAGCACAGTGTGCCCAAGTATAGAATATTGAGAAACAGATCTTGCGGAAAATCGGTAATTGTAGTTAGAAGTTACTGTACAACTAATGCCACTGAAAAAAAACAACAGCAACGGAAAAGGTGTTTGTGTGGGGAAAGGATGTTATGAAAAGCCTGGCTATTCTAATCTGTAAGATTCTAAGGTAACTTCATAGGACCTAATGTAGAAAAAATTGCCACAGACTTGATCAGTCTCTGGGCCTAAAGATTTAAGGCAACTATGTGAAGTGTATGCTTTGAAAGCTAATCGTCTGAGAGAGAAATTCCAGCATATTTCACAATTTGAATATATTGATAACCATTGGAATTTAAAATGTTTTTTATAAACAGCTGTGAAAAATTCTCTGGGCCCAAGTTGTAATGCAGTAAAAGGAGGGAGTGGTTAAAAATATAAAATAGGAAGAGGTAAAGAAATCTACTCTGAAACTGAATACAGTCACTAAAAGATACCTTTCAGTCCTTTGTTTAAAATTGGTGCTTCCAAGATGGGACATAAGGAGTACATTTACCAAGGAACGGTAACTTTGTTTTTAAACTGACTCATATGGTACTTGTTCCTTGTTATGTGCTAAAAGAGATGCTGTATGGTTGCCTCCCTGACCCTGAAAAACCTCTGGATCCATCCTGGCATTCAATTTACTTATTTTCATTTCCAGACTTAATTAGCCATTTCTAGCTTTCATTACTTCACAGTAGTCAAAGTGAACAAAAAAACATAGTTCAGAAGCAAATCTGAAAATTGCAGCTAGGGTAAGGGCAGTGTTCACCTGTACTGAGTACTAAGAGCAAGCTTATGAACTGTTTAGGTGTTTGCATGAGTGCAGCATGTTAAGTAACAATCTATATTAATTATTATCTTAGTGGAAAGAAGCAAAGCCTGATGAGTTAATGGACTCCAAATTAAGATGTGTGTTTGAAATGCCCAATGAAAATGATAAACTGGTAAGTAAGAAACTGTCCTACAGTGACTGGTAGGAATTTGGGGAAATCTGTTTTGAAATTTTTTAAACCTATTTGATTTGTTGATTAAATGGATTGTAGGAATTTGTACTAAATGAGACAGAAGGGGTATTCAGTGTATAACTTAAGGTATTCATAGGATCTTAAAACAATCCAGTTTGAAAGGTACCGTGAAACATCATCTGTTCCAGCCATCCTTTGTTGGAAAGGGAGCACCCTATCCAACTGCATCTTAAAAGCCTCCAGCAATGGACACTAGTGCCAAAAATGATATTTTTTTTGTTATTATTGATTTTCTTAGGATTTTATTGCTATCAGATTAAAAAAAATATACAGTACTGCATACAGTGAAAAGTGAATTGCATCATTTCATTTTAAAGTATTGCATCCTTTTCAATTTAAAAAATCCTGTTTCTAATTCAGCTAGATCAGAAAAGGAAGTATTAATTAGAAATTGCTTTAGGAATCCTAAATGCATTTTTTTTAAGGTAATGGTAAAGAGAGATAATCAGACAAAAAAAGTAATCACATTGCCTCTTTCATGCTCTTGCTTTCAGACAAAATCTATTCCAGTTGTGTAGGAGGTCAGTTTCATTGTATACAGACTGAAGATGTCTGTGTTGCCTGATATTTGGAGTAATAGTTAGCTGTCAGTTACCTAGAAATATTGTAGAATATGACTGCATTCTTACACACGAACTTTTTATTTACCCTTATACTTGAAATTCTAATTTATATAATCTAGTACTGTATATTCTGGATTGTTTGGGGTGGTGTTTTTTTTTTTATGTTTTACTTTATTAAATTATTTATTAATGTAGCATTGTGAGAGCGCTAAAGTGCTGTTTCTGTAAACAGCCTTATTCATTTTATTACCTTGACTTTTAGTGCTGTCCAGCTTTTACACTAGTCTGTAAGGCATGTTGGAAAGTAGTATGAATCCATACATGTAAAAACCATCTCATTATTTACATACATAAAGCGTCTTGGTGAAGGCTGCTGGCTGACCAGTAGCTGTGTTTGCAACATTTCTTTTAATACAGTTTTTGGACTGTAATGTAAAGAAGTTTTTCAGAGGCAATGTCAGCATAATGTTTTTTGGTGTACTTTTCCCCCCCCTTTTTTGGTGAAGGATAATTTATGAGATGTACGCTTTTATTTAGGTGTAAGCTGCCTAAACCTGTGTTAAATGCTAAAACTGTAAAGGTTAAGCATTTATTATTAAGGCAATTAATTATCTACTTTCTGTATTTTTTTAACCTTCTTAGTAAATTATATTTGGATATTAGAAAAATTACACTTGTTTTTAATTTTATAAAATGTATAATGTAGTGAGAGAAATGTAATGGATTATACAGAACAACCTCCTTTTGTACTTCCTTCAATGTTATATTTTCAGTGTTGACTGTGCATAGCATTTATATTTTTCTGAGTAGCAGCATAGGGTTGCAAAATCCTGCTTCAGCAGTTGATTTAGTATCTTAAATCTGGCAGTGAGAAATCTGCCAAGTCCTGAGGGTAAGCCTTACCTGTCACCTCAGGATATACCTACATGAGGACACAAGTATTTCACTCCAGTCAGCAACAACTTTCTTCAGATGCCCACCAATCATAGCCAGAAGATTGTCATGAAGAAACCAGTCAGTGAGGTCAAACAGCAGAAGGAGGGATGTTTGTTCCAGGGAGATAAGTCTTAGGTCTGTAGAGAAGTTTCAGTGCTACTAAAGGAATTCAGTTCAGCTAGCAAACCAGTTAAAAAAGCAACAGATCCTGATCTGCTTCCTCGTGATACAAATATGTTGGTCTTTTCAAATCCAGTTAGGAGTACCTGTGTGCAGTAGGAGGATCTGGCTATTAGGCTGTGTATGGCTGCATTGAAAAAAAAAAGTAAAGTGCAAGTAGATGCTGTAGACCAAATGACTTCTACTTGCATAGGAACTAAATAAATTCTTGCATCTTTTATTTTTCAGTTGCTTTACTGTTACATAGATGTGTTGACCTTCTAAGAGGTTTTCTAGTACATTTAGTGCTTACTTTAGACTGCTTTGATTATGAGAGATGCAATTAGTTGTCTAAATGACATAGGTGTGCAGCCAAGCAACTAGGAATAGAGACGCCTGAATGTGTATACGAGCTGTTTCTGAGTGTATTGCTATATGAATGTTGTGTTTTTACAAATAATAAGCTGGCTATACAGTTGGATCTGTTGTATTACTAATGTCTGCTGAAGATTATTGTAGATTTTGAGCAGAGCTGTAGTAACCAGTTTTTTCATTTTATTTATGTTTTTTTCACAGCTTTTATGTGACTTTTCACTTGTATTGAAAATTAGTAGTGTGTTATCTTAGAACTGCTGTGAAACTTAAATCCCATGTTTGTTCCATTTTTTTTCTTTTTTATACCATCTTTTGGTTGCCTGCTGGGTCAGTTTTAAGCAGCTAAAGTATTAATTTTTGTCTCAGTAGCATGTAGTGCCAACAGTACAATCTTGTCTTGCTTTTTAATAGCTGAGCTAATCAGAGTTGAACTGTTAACAGAAGTCTTTGTTCAGATTACTGTAAATACAAACTTCTTCAAACTATATTAGTAGCTAGATTGTTTCAGTTTTAAAATGGGGGTGATTTTTCTAGGTAAGTAAAATTCTCAAGTCATTCTTAATATTTGTAGAATGATATAGATGCAAGCAAACCTGCCCCAGTACTGAATACATCTAAGCAGGATGGACCGATGCCAAAACCCCATAGTGTTTCACTTAATGATACTGAAACAAGGAAGCTAGTGGAGGAGTGCAAAAGACTTCAAGCAGAGGTTATGAAGCTGACGGATGAAAATCAGCACCTGAGAGTAAGTTCTGCTTGCATGTTTACGTTATAGTAGTTTCACTCTTCATTGAAAGGTCTAGTTTTCAGTTAGGCCAATAGATGTGTATTCAGAAAGTAGATGCAACTGTTAGAATGTCAAGATTGATTTGTAATACAGTTTTCCTGTCCTGTATGTACTGTGTATCTTGAATTTCTCAGTGATTGACACTTTGTGGTTGTCCTGGATGAGATACTGAGATACATAATTTTCTTCTATTTAAGGTGGGTTTGGTTACTTGAAGTCTGAGATACCAAATTAGTAGCTTTTATTAAAGTGCATGATTCTTCATTAAGAATGAGTAAATGAGATACAAAGTGGTAACATTCTGTATCATAAATTGTTAGTGAACAAGAACAATGGTTTGGCCAGAGGAAGTAACCTAAAACAACTTTCCACTACTTTTATGTAAAAGTTCTGTTCAGTAACCTGTAACTTCTCAGTACATGACTTTGTGTGACTTCCTGTATATTTGCTTTTGGGTATCTAACAATGTCATTGGCCATAGTAGACTTTTAAAGAGCCATGAAATGCTGATGTCTCCAAATCATTAATTCTGATGACATTGGAACATTTGGAGAAGCATTACACAAAGCAGGTGTTTTAATTCACAGTAAGGAATTATTGCTATTTAATTCTAATGCATAGTAAGTAAAGCGGGATTCTTCATTGTGTATACCAAGAATTTCAGAATCAACGAGCAGGGAGGGAGACTAGTGTATTACCTGTCCTTATCTGAAATGTTATGGTTTGCTGTGTTCATATTTTGGATTTTGATGTGGTCTAAGGTTGCGGGGGCGGGGAGAGAGGTTTGTGTTTGATTTTGGGGTTTTTTTTGATTGTTTTGTTTTGACTTCATTTAAATATTAACCAGTAAATTTAGCCTTTCAGTTCAGTTTTTACTATTGTAAAGAAGATATGTTCATAAACTTTTTTCCGTCTTTGTTGTTCCCCCACTCCCCCCCCAGGATGAAGGCTTGAGGCTCAGAAAGGTAGCGCACTCGGATAAATCTGGATCACCCACAGCTTTGGCCCTCAGAGATAATGGCTCTAATTCTCTTCCTTCACTTCTTGTCGTAATTGCAGCCATTTTCATTGGATTCTTTCTAGGGAAGTTCATCTTGTAGAAAGAATGAGTGAGAAGCATGCAAAATGCAGCTTCCTTTTTTTTTTCGTTTCTCTCCATTTTTTTTTTTTTTCCTTGGCCAGGTAAAGATTTGTTTACCTACCACTTCATTGGTAGTATGGCCCAAGTGGCCATTTTTGTGTACAGCATCATAACAGGCTTCGCCTTTAATGATCTCGCACGGTTAGAAAACACAATCTTGAAAAGACAAACTGTTCGGCTACTGGACAAAATTGTACATTATGTCATCAATAGCAGGTGTCAGTTGCACAGTCAGTCCTTTATGAAAATTCATAAATAAAGAATTGTTCTTTCTTTCTGTGGTTTTAATAAGAATTCAAAAATTGTTCAGAGTCTTGTAAATGTTATTTTAATAATACTTTAAAATTTTATCTGTTGCTGTTACCTCTTGAAAAATGATTTATTAAATTGCTAATCCCACTCATTCAGGAATATGACAAGAGGTATTCTGGGGAAAATGGTGCCTCTTACTGTGTAAATTTTCTCCTTACCTTACTTTGCTAATATCATGGCAGAATTTCTTTCTTATTCCTTGTGAGGCATTGTTGAGAGTTCTTCACCGTTACAATCTTGTCCCATAATATTTAACATTACAAAAGAAATAAAATTGTTAACAGATTTTTCTTCTGGGTAGCCTGTTTGTGTGTGTCATACTTTTAGAAGGGATTCCTAACAATTCATTGTTTATGGTAATTTGCTGCTTGTAACAAATGGATATTTTGGAGTTTATTTGCTTAAGTCTCTGGCTTAGACTGTTGTAATTGAAGCTTGGTGGGTGGGGAAAAATGTTTCCATTCTATTTGTTTCAAAAAAAATAAACTTTTCTGGCTGGTTTCAGCTACAGAGAGGATGGTTATCAGACTTGCTCTGAGACAGAATAATTTGCGTATCAAGCAGGTACAAATATCAGACATGAATGTTTTCAATATAGCAACAATTTGCTTGGATTGTGTGGGAGTGTAATAATCAACCTTCTGTTCCATCTTTGGGTTTTCTGAGTGTCTTCCAGGAGTCAAAGTTATTCTTTGATTTCATAAGGGTACTCAATTGACATACACTAACTTGCTCAGTTTGTAGTTCTGTTTTACCTGGTATTCGAAAATGCAAGTTGAATCATTTGGACACCCATAGTGAATTCCATGTTGTGGGATAGTTGATACTTGCTGAGTGAGCCTCAGTTGCTTACCTTTAGAAAACTAAAACCACTTTATGCAACTCTTGGCAGATCTGCCTGTGTTAACAATGTACAGCTAAGTTTTAAAGAATGCATTTGGGGAGGGATCTGAATTGCTTCCCTGCACTTAATTTTATGTCTTGTCTCATCTCTGAATATGTCAGAAAACCAAACAATAGTATTGCAACAAAATATTACCTGTACTTCTGATTTAGCGTAATCCAATACAGGAAATTACTTGTAAACTTGAAAAATTGTGGAAGGGATATACTCCTGTAAGCAAAACTGTATGCTCTTGGACAGCTTGACTTGATGTGGTGCAGCTAAGTGTGTTAGACCTTGGTATAAGCACACCTTATGTAGCTGAGAAAAAATGTTCTGGAGAAGGTGTACGTTATCTTGATTGCCTTTGATTTCTAGTGCTTTTTTTTTTTTAAATAAAACAACCAAACAAAAAAAAAACCCACAAACCCCAAACTGTAATTACATCATGTTCTGCCATTGCTGTCTGTGATAAAATTTTTTTATAAAATCTTGCGTATACGCAAGGAAGATGATGAAGAAAATGCAAATACCGCTTATCTTTTTCACTTATGCATGCAAGCACAGATGTTTCCAATTACTTGTTCCAGTGTCTGCATTCAAGTCTTCTTCCATCCCAGTGACTGGAAAAACTTATGTTAAGGTCTTGATTATTTTGGTTCCGCTGGTTCAGAATGGTGTAATTCTCCCGATCTTTTTTCTAACAGAATGTTGCCACATCAAACTTTATAGCCTGTTCCAAGCTGATTACATGGAAAATAACGAAAGCAATGGTGTGCAGGATGTAGTTTGCTTCAGAGAGAGCAGTCATTCCTGCCTTCAAGGGAAGAGAGGGGAAAAAAAGAAATTCTCTGGAAAACTTAAGTTGCTTACTAAGATGTTTACTGCATGATGTATGGAGGCTTTCAAAGGTAGCTAGCGCTTTCAGGACTTGAGAGTGGAAAAAGGAGTCACTGCTCAGTGCAGCTGTCACAGATTTTTGTATCTGGCAGCAGAAATAAGGTAAAAATGATAAAATCAGATTGAAATAACTTTTTTTCATAAAAAAACAACTGGTGGTAAAACTTTGTCATAGTTTAAGTAATTTCTTCAAAGTGAAAAGTGTGCATCGGTCTCATAAACATTGTACTTGCTAATGGTATAAGGAGACTGTCTTGGTCTACAGTAATCCCTTCATAGCTGTATATAAAATGTAATGTTGAAACTATTTTGGTCTCAGGAGTCACTTTGGATGAGATCAACTGTATTCAGTGAAGTATGTAATATGGATTAAATAGTTTGTCTTTGTTCGTGAAATGGTTAGAACTTCTTGCTTTGTCTACCTGCTTACTTGCATATGTAAGCATGGGGGGAATATAGTCTCCACTGCTTCTGTTGGTATGATCAAATGATGATGTTCATAAGGTTGTGTGAGGATAAATGCGTATCTTTAAGTATGTATTGTAGATCACTATTCTCAAAAGGGCAAGATAGAACAAGTTCATGATATCAAGGTAGTGTTTTAAAGCTTTTATAATACTTTACAAAAGAAAAGGTAGTATGGTGGTTGGGAGGGGGGAAAGCATAGTTAAATAGAAGATACAGTTTATGTAATAGTTTGAGACCCCAAATTTAACCCTCTTTTTTAATATATATATATATTTGAACTTCATTTACGAGAAAGTTATTTGTATCAATGCACAAGTCATAAGTAACTTATGCATTTCTATGCATTCTCTAAAAGCTGTTGATAAACACTATTGCCCAGGCTTGTATGTTGCTGCTGCTGTGATTGAAGCTGATTTCCATATAAGAAGCAACTAAACACTAGTTTGAAATTTCATTATCCTCTTGGGAGGAGGGACGGTGAAGGGACGAGGTGGAAGGTGACATTTTGCCAAAGGGGAAAAGACAAAGTCAACATGCAAAATTTATCTTTCAGGCCTTTTTCAAAGATATTAAAAGTTAAAAGTGTTAATAAACTGTTAAAAATGTGGAAGTGTCCTTTTTATTTTGGAACTTCTCCCTGGCTGTATGTTCTGTAGACTGCTGATACTGCATAGGTGTTTCTAGTCCACCTTGCAGGTGGTGTGACTGCCCTAGGTGCAACTGCTGCTAGGTACTGCCAGTAAATAGCATGAAGCTGCTTGGGTGAAGATTCAGTGTTGGAGTGAAGACCAGATGCCTGAATCCAGGCAACACTAAGGAAACTGATGGTTTATTAGATTTACAGTAGTTGTCATGACAAAGAATTTTCTTGTTCCTGTGGAGTCCTTAGGTATTTATAGTTAAACTGGCTCGCCAGGGCAAACACTTGCTTCAGCCTGTGCCAAGAAGTGGAACAAGAGGTACACAGTTGCAGAGCAACCCCAATAAACATTTACTGTAACACTGAAATGTCCTGCTCTGTGTGGGATTGAAATTTTGTAGCTTGTCTGTGCAGCCACTTTGCTGTGAAAAGTTTGCTGCGAAAAGTTTGCTGCTTTGCTTTCTGCACTGGTTTGTGTTGGAATAGCTTTGTCGGTGTGTCCTGAAAGGCACATCCATGTGTAGCACTAACCACTGCTGCCATGGAGGCTTCATCTTTGCTAATCATGAGCTGCTGTGGCAGCTTTAGACTGGTGGCACACTTAAATGTTGGACAAAAGGGGGAGCTAAATGCAGGAATCAGTTTTCACAGGTGTTAGCTTCTGTAGGAAGGACTGAAACTCATGACAGTTTAATGAGAGCAATTTATTTCCTGTCTAAATTTCTTTTACAGGGGCACTCAATGTAACCAAGGGTCCTGGGTTCAGTTGTAGCAGTCATTTTTCTCCTTCTTAGTAGCTGGTGCAGTGCTGTGTTTTTGACTTTCGGCCTGGGAACAGCGTTGATAACACCGATGTTTTCAGTTGCTGCTCAGTAATGTTTACTCTGACCAAGGACTTTCTGAGTCTCAGGCTCTGCCAGGGAGGAGGGGGAGCCGAGAGGAAGCAGAGACAGGACACCTGACCCAGACTAACCAAAGAGGTATTCCATACCATAGCACATTATGCCCACTATATATACTGGGGGCAGTTACCTGGAAGGGCTAGATCACTGCTCAGGTCGAGGTGGGTATCGGCTGGCAGGTGGTGAGCGGTTGTATTCTCTTCCCTTGCTATTTCCCTTATCATTATCATTATTGGTGGCAGCAGCAGTGGTCTGTGTTATTCCTTAGTTACTGCACTGTTCTTATCTCAGCCCGTGGGAGTTACATTCTTTCGATTCTCTTGCCCATCCCTCAAGGAGCAGAGGGAGGAAGGGGGGGGTGGAGTGAGCGAGAGAGCGGCTGGTTTTCAGCTGGGCTTAAACCATGACACCAAGTATATGATCGAAGTTTGTCTGTTGTATGGTTTTTCAGTGTAGGTTGTGTGTGTTTTAAGAATTGCTCAGTCTGACAGGACTGCATAAGCAGAGGTAGTGATGGTGTTGTCAGTCTTTATTTGTTTGCCCTTTAAGTGACAAATGGATATGTAGAAATGAGGTCTTGTGCAAAAGCAAAACTTGAGTCTTATCCGGCTTCCTCATTACTGCTAGATGATAAGGTCAGTGCCTGTTCCTCATTTACTGGGACAAGGGTTTATGTATTTGCAGGTGACCGAGATCTGAAAACTGTTATAGATGAAATCCATTGTTTCATCCCCTAGAAATTATGCTTTAACTACATTGTGAAATAAGCATCTCCCACCATATTACAGTGCCAGCTTGGTACCAGTTTATGTAATGTTGATAACACTGCTAGCAGGGTATTGAATCCCAGTTTATACAGTAGCTACTTCTGTTGCTGGCAGGGTGAAAAGCTGCTCTTTCACTCCCTCCTCTTTGGAAAAGATTGCAAGGGTGTTACGGTATCTAGGCGCAGAGGTGTGAGGCAGACTGCTGTTATTATAAATAAGCAGTCTGAGCTCTTAACACTTGAAATAAATGAAAAATTAATTGAAAGGTGACTGAAGTAATTCTTACCTTCAAAACTTGTGTATAAGAAAAAAGTGTTGTGAGTTGTTTTGATTTGTTTTTAAAAGTTAGTCATTCAAGTTCAAAAACCAAAAAGTTGCCATAGTCTGGGAATAATTATTTCAGGCTGTTGGAAGTTTTTACTAATACTGTTGTAGGTTCACATGCATAAGTGAATTTGGATTCTCATTGGTGATCAATGTTTAGGCTGTTCTTGGAGTGGGTAGTAATTAAATAGCAATCTTTTAAGTGTCTCAGTCTGCCTTGTAAGGAGGGTTTATCCTTGCTTTAGAGATAGGGAAACTGAGGTGTAAGTGTTGGGACAAATGAATGGGTGGGGAGGGTTAGGCACAACTCCTGTTCTCTAGTGCATGCTCCATCCTGTTTCTTAGCAAGCCTTCCTCGAGCCTTGTCCAAGTCTTCTATTTGTTTGCTTGCTTTTTATTTTGTTTTTGATTCCAAAATGCTGCTTCGTCTTGCTTGGAAGTCTTTCATAGGCTTTTAAGGTACCTTCCTAAAGATTTAGCTGTTGGCTTCTCTGTTCCTTGAAGCCGAGTGTTAAACAGGCAGAAAATGTAGCTGCTGGAGAGGTGTTCTAACAGGGATTGTGCTCACTGGGATTGCAATGCCTGACCGCTGCTAAAGATGCTGGGGGAGAAGAGGGGGAAGACTAATCATTTGGGAACGTGTTTGTAGTCTTGGAACACGAAAGTGTGTCTGTGTAGCAAAAAAAAAGCTTCAGTGGAGACAGTGCTGTATTTGAAAAGAAAACAAATAGTCCTAAATCTGTGCAGCTACCCTGTTAGTGGTAGTATATATTGCTGTACTGGGTTTGTGTGGCCAGGTTTTGGTAGCAGGAGGGCTGCAGGGGTGTCTTCTGTGAGAAGGTGCCAGAAGCTTCCCCTGTGTCCATTAGAGCCAATGCCAGCCGGCTTCAAGATGGACCTGCCACTGGTCAAGGACAAACCCATCAGTGATGATGGTAGCATGTCTGGGATAACAGATTAAAGAAGGATCAAAAGCCTGCACAACTGCAGCCAGAGAGAAGAGTGAGGATATGTGAGAACAGCTCTGCAGATACCCAGGTCAGTCCAGAAGGAGGGGAGGAGGTGCTTCAGGTGTCAGAGCAAAGATTCCCCTGCAGCCTGTAATGGTCCATGATGGAGCAGATACCCACCTGCAGCCTGTGGAGGACCTCAACCAAAGCAGGGGTATGACTGAAGAAGGCTGTGACCGGGCTGTGAGAAGCCTGGAATGGAGCAGGTTTGCTGGCAGGACTTGTGACCCCATGGGGGAAGCCACACTGGAGCAGTCTGTTCCTGATGAAGGGCTGCACCCCATGGAAGGGACCCACACTGGAGCAGTTTGTGAAGAACTGTACCTGGTGGGAATGATTCATGTTGGAGAAGCTCGTGGAGGATTGTCTGCCGTGG